GGAGTTAAACAAGTTAAGAAAGCCTGGGGAAAGTATGGATTTGTCAGTTAAAAACAGAGTAGGGGGGTTAGTAGATGGGGAGATGGAGGTATTAGGTAGATGGCAAGAATGTTTTAAGGAACTTTTAAATGTTAAGGAAGAAAGAGAGGCAGTAGTTTCATCCACTGGTCAGGGAGGTATACCATTTTTAGGAGTGAAGAAGAGCAGGATGTAAGTGTGGGGGAGGTACGTGAGGCATTATGTAGAATGAAAGGGGGTAAAGCAGCTGGAACTGATGGGATCATGACAGAAATGTTAAAAGCAGGGGGATATATAGTGTTGGAGTGGTTGGTACTTTTGTTTAATAAATGTATGAAAGAGGGGAAGGTACCTAGGGATTGGCGGAGAGCATGTATTGCCCCTTTATATAAAGGGGAAAGGGGACAAAAAGAGATTGTAAAAATTATAGAGGAATAAGTTTACTGAGTATACCAGGAAAAGTGTACGGTAGGGTTGTAATTGAAAGAATTAGAGGCAAGACAGAATGTAGAATTGCAGACGAGCAAGGAGGGGATATGTAGATAAAGTGTTTACATTGAAGCATATATTGTGAACAGTATTTAGATAAAGGTAGGGAAGTTTTTATTGCATTTATGGATTTAGAAAAGGCATATGATAGAGTGGATAGAGGAAACAATGTGGCAGATGTTGCAAGTATATGGAATAGGTGGTAAGTTATTAAATGCTGTAAAGAGTTTTTATGAGGATAGTGAGACTCAGGTTAGGGTGTGTAGAAGAGAGGGAGAATATTCCCAGTAAAAGTAGGCCCTTAGACGGGGATGTGTAATGTCACCATGGGGGGTTTAATATTTTTTATAGATGGGGTTTTAAAGGAAGTAAATGCTGGGGGTGTTGGGGAGAGGGGCGGTTTAAAATTTTTGGGGAATCAAATTCAAAATGGGAATTGAGTTACTTTTTGCTGATGTACTGTGCTTATGGGAGATTCTAAAGAAAAATTGCAAAGGTTAGTGGATGAGTTTGGGAATGTTGTAAAGGTAGAAAGTTGAAAATTGAACATAGAAAAGAGTAAGGTGATGGGGTGTCAAATGATTTAGATAAAGAAAAATTTGGGTATCAAATTGGGGAGGAGGAGTATGGAAGAAGTGAATGTTTTCAGATACTTGGAGTTGACGTGTCGGCGGATGGATTTATGAAGGATGAGGTTAAACATGAATTCATGAGGGAAAAAAGTGATGGTGCTTGAGGTATATGTGGAGTCAAAAAGCGTTATCGTTGGAGGCAAAGAAGGGAATGTAAAGAAAGTATAATAGTACCAAACTCTTATATGGGGGTGAAGCTTGGGTGGTAAATGCAGCAGCAAGGAGATGGTTGGAGGCAGTGGAGATGTCCTGTTTAAGGGCAATGTGTGGTGTAAATGTTATGCAGAAAATTCGGAGTGTGGAAATTAGGAAAAGGTGTGGAGTTAATAAAAGTATTAGTCAGAGGGCAGAAGAGAGGTTGTTGAGGTGGTTTGGTCCATTTAGAGAGAATGGATCAAAGTAGAATGACATGGAAAGCATATAAATCTCTAGGGGAAGGAAGGCGGGGTAGGGGTCGTCCTCGAAAGGGTTGGAGAGAGAGGGGTAAAGGAGGTTTTGTGGGCAAGGGGCTATGACTTCCAGCAAGCGTGCATGAGCGTGTTAGATAGTGAATGGAGACGAATGGTACTTGGGACCTGACGATCTGTTAGTGTGTGAGCAGGGTAATATTTAGTGAAGGGATTCAGTGAAACCGGTTATTTTCATATAGTTTGGACTTGAGTCCTGGAAATGGGAAGTACAATGCGTGTACTTTAAAGGAGGGGTTTGGATATTGGCAGTTTGGAGGGATATGTTGTGTATCTTTATATGTGTATGCTTCTAAACTGTTGTATTCTGAGCACCTCTGCAAAAACAGTGATAATGTGCGAGTGTGGTGAAAGTGTTGAATGATGGTGAAAGTATTTTCTTTTTGGGGATTTTCTTTCTTTTTTGGGTCACCCTGCCTCGGTGGGTCACCTGCCTCAGTGGGAGACGGCCGACTTGTTGAAAAAAAAAAGTAATTTAAATACTGATTAATACTAAAATATGTAATTTAAATACTGATTAATACTAAAATATGTACATAAATACAAAATAATTAGATAAAATAAATGCAAATTTATCCTGATTTTACTTTGCTGAAAATTGTTGATTGTCTACTAGGATGTGCTGAGAAGGAAGGAGCAGAATCCCCTACTCTTTTCTGTCTCATTTCCCATTTGAAGCTCACCAGGTTTGACTTTCACATTAAATGTCTTATTTTACGTCAATACGGTGGAACCCCGAATATTGGCCGATTCATATTTAGGCCGGTTTTTGGGCGGATATTTGGCTATGTATTTCAGTGGGTGCCTCGTAAATCGTCCGTATTACGTGCGAGGGCCGACCTCCTGCCGGGATGCCATGTGTAGGTGAGTCAGTCTCCCTGCATCTCTTGGTGAATGAGCACACACACTGTGCATTCCTCCAAACATTTCTGTAAAATCCATTGGTTTTTGTGCTCATTTATTAAGTGTGACTGTAAAATAACCACTGTGGAATTTAAGAAGTTATTGAAAAATATGAGAGTGGTGTGCGGGTGTTGGAACTTGCCAGGATGTATGGGAAATTCAAATCAATGCTCACTGCTATCCTGGCAAAGAAAGAACAAATCCAGGAAGCTGATGTGGCGAAAGGGGTAAACACGTTAATGAAAAAGAGCTCACAAACGATAGAAGATGTGCAGTTGTTGTTATGGATCAGCGAGAAACAGGAGGAGATATTGTTTCAGAGACGCGATCATTGGTGAAAAGGCAAGGCAGATGCATGCGGATCTAGTAAAGAAAAATGCCTGGAACTAGTGCTGATGTTAGTGAGTTTAAGGCCAGCAGAGGCTGGGTTGACAGATTTAAGAAGTGTATGGCATGCACAGTGTTGTAAGGCATGGTGAGGCTGCAAGTTCAGACAAACATGAAGCTGAAAAATTTGTGCAGGAATTCAAAGGGGGGTATGTAGAGATTGAAGAATTCCAACCCCAACAAGTGTTCAATTGTGATGAACAGGCCTCTTGTGGAAGAAAATACCAGAGGGGCCCACATCATGCAGGAGGAAAAGGCACCACCAAGACAAGCCTATAAAGGACAGGCTAACTGTTTTGTTCTGTGCTAACACTAGGAATCACTCTGAAAATCCCCGAGTGTTCAAGAAAAACAATGTCGTCAAGAGTAGATTGTGTGTGTGATGTGGAGGGCTAACAATAAGGCATGGGTCACAAGGCAATTTTCATTGACTGGGTCCATGAAGTGTTTGGCCCGAGTGTGAAAAAATAACTCCAGGAAAATAAATTGCCACTCAAGTGCCTCCTGGTAATGGACAATACTCCTTCTCACCCTCCAAACTTGGTAACCAATTGATTAGGAATTTCAGTTTTATAACAGTGAAGGTCTTGCCTCCTAACACCACTTGTTCATCCCGCTCATGGACAGGAGGTCATTTCTAACTTCAAAACCTTCTACACAAAAGCAGTTTCAAAGGTGCTTTGAAGTGACCTCGGACGCTGAATCTATTATGTCTCCAAGGAAGTCCGTGGGTTGGACGTGAGCGACGAGGACACATAAGAGCTGGTGGAGGACCACAGGGAAGAGCTAACCACTGAAGAGCTGAACACCTTCAACTGGAACAGCAGCAGACCACAGCTGAGAAACTTGCTTCAGAGGAGGAGGAAGAGAGAGGGAAGGAGGTGCCTTCTTTAGAGATTTGTGCAGTATGGAGTAGGGTACAAGCTTTTGCTGAGAAATATCACCCTGACCAAGCTAAAAACAACCCATATCTACAACACATTCAGTGACAAAAGCTCGGCCCACTTCAGGCAAATCTTAGAGGCGCCAACAAAAGACCTCTGGGCAGATTTTTTGTGCAACAGGGGTCCAGTGACTATCAAGCTGGTCCTAGTGCCATTAAAAGACAAAGAAGGGAAGTAACCCTGGAGAGGGACTTTTTACCTGAAGGGGGATTCCCCTTCCAAGCAATAACTGGAACTCCCTCTCCCCTCCTTGCCGCCTTCTCTATGCCAACAGGAGTCCTCAGTAAAGGTATGTAAAGTCTATATTTATAGTTTGTTTTGTGTATGTAAAACTTTATAAAATGTATATTTTTTATTATTTTTGGGTGTCTGGAACAAATTGTATATACATAAATTCTTATGGGAAATATTGCTTCAAATTTAGGCCGTTTCGAATTTAGGCCGTCACTGGTTCTTCACACTTGTTTCAGACTATGAAACAATTTCTTCTCCAGGCTGGGACTGAGAAACCTCAGATCTACATCTTCAAGGGTGATGGACTGATTACATAATTTCACATCTCTACTGCTACTGCCTACTCTCTGTACTTGACTGAAGAAGCCTGCTGTGTAGGAGAAACGTTTTGTAATAAAGATGCCTAGATGTTGCGTATGTGTCTTAGTTACCAACTTGTAGGTATTGTATGCCATTTTGACAAAGCCACTGGATGGTGAAACATCTATAAGTAAAGAGAAGCCAGATGTTGTATGCTTGAGTAATTGATTATTGTGACACTGACAGAATCATTCAACATTTAGCTTAGTTGTGTGCTGCTGTTGCATGCATTCAAGCTGGGCATCCTGAAGGCGAGTTTATTGCTGGTGAATGGCTCTTGACTTTAGGAACTGACAGTTAGCCTTCTTTTTTTTCCGGTTAAATTTAATCCCTTTCTCTAGGCCGTGTACGACCCTTGCGAGTTTAGAAATTCTTCATAAATGTTACGCGGCAAATGCTTCGTTCTTCATAAATTTGGGAACGAGTATATTTATGAGATTCGAGATAAATCAATAAGCATAACTATTATTTTTAGTAATGCCTATGATGTTCGTGATGGTAATTAGCTAGAAATCTATCATAGCTCACAAACTGTGACAAGTTTTGTAATCAATCTGTTTTTACAGCTTGTTTATGTGGATGGCTCAACACTCGATCACCAGTTTGGCCGAGAAATTGACGAGACTGTCAAATTGAACTGCGACGTCAGCAAAGTTTTGGATGTCGAGGAAGAACAGGAGAGACTGCTGCTCCGTGCCCGTCAGCAGGAACAGAATTGTCATTGGCTACTGAGCTACAATGCCAAATAGGTTTTCAACACTAATCCTGCACGATTGAACCCTGTAAGTGGTACTGATGGTGTTACTGAAGTGTTTATAGTAGTGTTGATATAGCTGGAGGTCTGGCAATCATTAGAATACATGTGTAGGTCCTACACCAATGTAGTTATCATCAACTTGCCTTATTCCTTGCTACCTTATCAGCCCAATTTTACTATCTATCCCTTGATCCTCTGCTCATCTGACAGGTCTAAAGTCTTGAAACAGAATCCTGCCCATCTCTTTAATATTACACATGAGAATCAGTCATTTCTGTGTTGTAATTCATTCTTCTTCCCTGTCCAAGTTCTTCCTCCTGTTTTACCTTTAAGATGCTGTAACTTGTATGGTTATTAGTACTCAAGATACTGTGCATCCCTCATGGACATTAATGCACCCATCGATCCATCTACAAGTCTGGCTCTTGATCCCCTTTTTGACTGTGGATCAGACTTGATTGTTTCTTGTTGGCCATTTACAATATACGACGTCTGTGGGTTTAGTGGTTTTTGTAGTATTTTTAAATATCCCTTGGCAGGATAAACATATTGGGCACAGAGGAACAGTTTGGCATCTATACTGACCAACTGAAGAAGCCAACACTAGTGATACAATAGCATTTCCTGTGGTAAAGGTGGAAAAAAAAATGTAGAAAAAGCTAAATACAGTGATATATAAGTGCCCAAAACTTCAGGCTATAACAAAAAAATAAGGGGGTGGAGGGCACCAACAGTTCATCACAGTAGGAGCTGCCAGAAGTCACCAGTTTCTCCAACACAAGTTATACTTTTTGTAGCAAACTGAACACATATTACTCTGTTAAATAATATTCCAGTACAGTGGACCCCCAGTTTGCGATATTAATCCGTTCCTGAGAGCTCATCGTAAACCAAAATTATTGGAAAGCGAATCAATTTTCCCCATAAGAAATAATGGAAATCAAATTAATCCATGCAAGACAGAAAATTATGAAAAAAAAAAAACTTTTATCACATGAAATATTAAGTTTAATGCACACAAACTGAAGAAGACATACACAGTTTGTATTATGTACTCTACTAACAAGATAATACATGACAGTTACCTTTAATGAAGATCTGGTGGTGATTGATGGGATGGGAGGAGGGAAGAGTGTTGAACCTTAGAAGGGGAATCCTCCTCCATTAGGACTTGAGGTAGCAAGTCCTTTTCTGGGGTTACTTCCTTTCTTTTAATGCCAGTAGGACCAGGTTGAGTCACTGGACTTGTGTCGCACAACATATCTGTCCATAGAGGCATGTACCTCTCGTTCCTTTATGACTTTCCTGAAGTGGTTCACAACATTGTCAGTGTACAGGTTGCCAACACAGCTTGCAGTAGCTGTCTGAAGTGATTTTCATCAAAAAAGCTTTGCACTTCAAGCCACTTTGCACACATTTCCTTAATCTTTGAAGTAGACAACTTGTTCACTTTATCCATCCCCTCCTCCGAAGCAGTTTCCTCAGGTCTGGCCTCTTGCTGTTGAAGATGATCTAGCAGCTCATCAGTGGTTAGTCAGTCATTGTCCTCCTCCCCACTAACCTTCAACCCCAAGGACTTCCACAATGGATTCCTCAACTGGCATAGGATTCTCAGGGTTACCCTGAAACCCTTCGACATCCCTTATGTCTACATATTCTGTCTACACTTTTTTTTTTTTTTTTTTATCACACTGGCCGATTCCCACCAAGGCAGGGTGGCCTGAAAAAGAAAAACTTCACCATCATTCACTTCATCACTGTCTTGCCAACTGGCAAGACAGTGATGGAGTGAATGATGGTGAAAGTTTTTCTTTTCGGCCACCCTTCCTTGGTGGGAATCGGCCAGTGTGGGCAAAAAAAAAAAATTCTGGCCACCCGTTTTGTCCAGGCAGAGTTCAAGCTCCTTTTAGTCACTCCCTTCCAAGCCCTTTCCTATAAGTTATTATTATTATTATAATCAAAAAGAAGCGCTAAGCCACAAGGACTATACAGCGCTGCAGGGCAGGAAGGAAGCGAGGCATCAGGTGGCAAAAGGGAGATGGATGAGCAACAGGTTACGGATAACAGCGGGCAGTGGATGGTGAAAGGGTAAAGGGCAGCAAGAGACTGAAACCCGAAAGGGCTGAGGGGAGTGCGAAAAGTATCATCAGAGTTTGTGGAGTAAATCAGTCGTTGTCAAGAAGTCAATGAGAGAGTCAGGATTAAAGGAGGGTCCATCAGCAAGAAGGGAAGGTAAAGAGAGAGTAGGAGAACGAAGACGACGTTGGAGGTAAATTCTGCGTGCTCGTTGATAGAGAGGGCAGTCTAACAGAATGTGGCTAATCGATACTGGAACTTGAACACTGCTCACAGAGAGGAACAGGGTGCCTCTCCATGAGATACCCATGAGTAAGACGAGTGTGGCCAATGCGAAGGCGGGAGAGAGTGGTCTCCCAACCTCGGCACTGATGACAAGAAGACGGCCAGTAACCTATGCTCGGTTTAATAGAATGAAGTTTGTTACCGAGCAGAGTTGACCAACGTTGTTGCCAACGGGTGCGAAGGTGGGTAGCTATTGCAGCAAAATATCCAGAAATGGAACACCTCGATAGGAAATTGGTTGGTCATATACCTGACCGCACAGCAGGCTGCCTGTTTTTCATTGCCCTGACGTCGACATACCAGGGACCCAACAAAAAACAGACTTTATGTTTGGGGAAGA